CATGTCTACCACGTCGGGGAGAAAAGACATCGGACAGAAGAGGGCCAGGGACCAATGATAACCTTTACTGAAGCTGACCTAGAAATGGTCTAGCATCCGCATAATGATGCCTTGGTAGTATCCCTCCAAGTTGGAGAGTGCCAAGTGAAACGCATCCTGATTGACCAAGGCAGCTCTTGTGACATCATGTATGTCCGATGTTACAAGGAGCTCGGCCTTCACCAAGATGATATGGAACAATCCTATGGCCCAATGGTTGGGTTCAATGGAACGCCGACATGGCCACTGGGAACAGTAAGCTTGGAGGTGCAGGCTGGCACCAGGAAGATCAAGACAGAATTCACCATCATCGACACACCCTTCCCTTACAACATCATCTTGGGAAGGCCATGGCTGCATATGATGGGGGCAGTTCCCTCAACATTGCACCAACTATTGCGATTCCCAACAGAGCATGGGATAGAGGAAGTCAGAGGCGATCAGCTGCAGGCGAAGAATTGCTCTATGGCAGCAATGAAATCTACCTGCAACATACGAGAGCCAGAAAATGCAGAAATTGAAAATGAGGACATAGAAGTCCTAGAAGACATCAGCAAGGAGCCAGCCGAAAAAAGCGAAGAGGCATTGAAGAAAATCGTCGTCCAGGATGGGGATGAAGAACGCTTATTTCTTCTCGGCTCGGGCTTAGCCGAAGAAGAGAAAAAAGAGTTGGAAGCTTTTCTAAGAGCAAATATTGAGGTGTTTGCTTGGACACCTTACGAAATGCCTGGCATTGACGCCGAGGTCACTTGCCACAAACTGAATGTTGACAGGTCGGCCAAACCTGTAATTCAGCGAGCCAGAAGACTGACGTTAATGCACGTCAAAGCAGTCGAGGAAGAAGTAGACAGACTTCTGGAAGCCAGGGCCATTAGAGAAGTTCACTACCCGACATGGCTATCTAATACAGTGGTGGTAAAGAAGAAGAACGGTAAATGGAGGGTCTGCGTAGACTTTACCAGCCTCAACAAAGCCTGTCCCAAAGATAGCTTTCCTCTATCCAAGATTGACCAGCTAGTAAATGCCACTTTAGGGCATGGAAGAATGAGCTTCCTAGATGCCTATAGGGGGTACCACCAGATAGCCATGTACCCCCCAGACGAAGAGAAGACCACGTTCATCACCCTAAAAGGCCTGTACTGTTATAGAGTAATGCCTTTCGGGTTGAAAAATTTATCACCCCAAAAGGTCTGTACTGCTACAGAGTGATGCCTTTCAGGTTGAAAAACACAGGAGCAACTTACTAAAGACTGGTAACCAAGATGTTTAGACACCTAATTGGCCGAACGGTGGAAGTCTACATCGACGACATGGTCGTGAAGACCAAGGAACCAGAAGGACATCTGGCCGACCTCAAAGCAGTCTTTGGCATCCTAAAAACGTATCGGCTCCGACTCAATGCAGCAAAGTGTGCATTTGAAGTGGGATCTGGTAAGTTTTTGGGATACTTGGTGACCAGAAGGGGCATTGAGGCCAGCCCAGATCAGATCAAGGCCATCCTAGAGTTGAAGAGCCTGACGTCGGCAAAACAGGTGCAGATGCTAACTGGAAGGGCTGCAGCCCTGAACAGGTTCATAAGCAGAAGCTCAGACAAGTGCAAACCCTTCTTCAACTTAATGAAGAAAGCCACAAACTTCCTGTGGACCGAAGAATACGAAGCCGCTTTGGCCAACCAGAAGAAGTACTTAACCACAGCTCCAGTTCTTTCAAATCCAGAATCTGGGGAGGAGCTGTTCCTGTACTTAGCCGTTTCAGAACATACAATCAGTGCAATACTAATCCGAGAAGAAAAATGGGAGTAAAGGGCTGTTTATTATGTAAGCAGAACCCTAGCCGATGCAGAAACAAGGTATCTACCCTTAGAGAAATTGGCACTAGCTTTAGTAATGGCTTCAAAGAAGTTGAACCATTACTTCCAGGCCCATAAAAGTGTGATGCTAACAGAGCATCCCTTGAAGTCCTTACAGTAACAAGGAGACCTGATAGGAAGAATAGCCAGGTGGGCAGTCACCCTAGGCCAGTATGACCTAGAGTACAGGCCAAGGACAGCAATCAAAGGCCAGGTTCTAGTTGACTTTGTGGCCGAGTTCACGCCAGAATCCATCGAACATCGGGCTCCGTTGAGCCAGGATGAACGATGTCCAGACAAGCAAGGAGAAGCCTAGGCAAAGGCGAAAGAACAAAAGAAAGAAGAAAAACTCAGACCCTGCAGCATTTACATCGCCTACTCCTTTCGACTGTTCGTTGATGGGAGTTCAAACCGACAGGGAGCGGGGGCAGGAGTAGTATTGATATCCCCAGATGGGCAGGTACTAGAACAATCAATTCGTTTGGGGTTCAAAGCCTCAAACAATTAAGCAGAGTATGAAGCACTCATTGCAGGACTGAAGCTGGCAGCAACAGTGCAAGCAGATGAGGTAATAGTTTTTTGTGATTCACAACTCATAGTTAACCAGACAACGGGTGAGTTTGCAGCCCGAGATGAAAGAATGTCAGCCTACGCGAAGGAGGTCATTAGGTTGTCAGCCTTGTTTCAAAACTGCCGACTACTTCAGGTAAGCCGAGATGATAACAGCCACGCCGATGCGTTGGCCAACCTAGCTAGGGCGGTACAACCTGGAAAAACAAGAACCATAATGGTCGATTACTTGTTGGGCCCGAGCATCGAACCACTGACCACAGAGCGCGAAGCGATGTGTGTAGCCATGGGACCAAGCTGGATGGATGCAATTATTGCATTTCTAAAAGAAGAAAAGTTGCCAGATGACCGCAAGGAGGCACACAAGATCAGATTGAAGTCGGCAAGATTCAGTCTGACAGCAGAATGACGTCTCTACAGAAAGTCCTTCACTGGACCCCTTTTAAGGTGCGTACACCCTTTACAAGTCAAAGATTTTTTATATGAAATACATGAAGGAATCTGTGGAAGCCACGTTGGGGGCAGATCACTCGCTCATAGGGCCATCACCTAGGGGTATTGGTGGCCTTACATGCAGAAAGATGCAGAAGCTTATGTAAAGAAGTGTGAGTAATGCCAAAGGTTTGTACCTCTGATACACCAGCCAGCAACAGACCTGAACCCTGTATCCAATCCTTGGCCATTTGCCTAGTGGGGCATGGATCTCGTCGGGCAACTGCCCCAAGCAACTGGGCAAAGGAAGTACTTGCTGGTAGCAACAGACTATTTCACTAAATGGATAGAAGCTGAACCTCTTGCCAAGATCCGAGATGTGGACGTGAAGAACTTCATTTGGAAGAACATTATCACCAGGTTCAGGATGCCAAGAGCAATTGTTGTAGACAATGGAACTCAATTTGACAGTAAGCTAATCAAGAACTTTTGTGCAAAGTTCAAGATCAAGAACTATTTTTCAACCCCAAGCTTTCCAGAAAGCAATGGACAAGCAGAAGCATCCAACAAAGTAATTCTGGATGGGATAAAGAAGAGGCTGCAGGCAGTAAAAGGAAAGTGAGTAGACGAATTGCCCAATGTACTCTGGGCATATCGGACTACGCCGAGAAGATCAACAGGGAAATTCCTCTTTGCCATGGCTTATGGCACAGAAGCAGTCATCCCACTGAGGCCAGCCCCTGGCATCAGAACCCAGGGGGTAGAGAACTGGACTAATGATGTACTCTTAGCCCAAGATCTAGATCTTCTAGAAGAACGAAGGGAGAAAGTTACAATTCAGCTCGCAGCATACCAGCAACAGCTTGCCAGAGCTTATAACAAAAAGGTTAACCCAAGGGAATTTCAGATTGGTGACCTCGTCCTAAGAAAAGTCGTCGGCAACAAGAAGGATCCCAAAGAGGGCAAGCTTGGCCCAAATTGGGAAGGACCTTACAGAATCATCTTGGTACTGGGTAATGGGGCATATCGGCTTGAAGATAATGAGGGCAAAGAGTTGCCAAGGCCTTGGAACACTTGCAATTTGAAATTTTTCTATCATTATAATTTCTTTGTTCCTTTGTCATTTACCGAAGTAAATAACTAAAGATTCAGCTCTCTTTTCAAGATACTTGACATTGTCTCTAGAATACATGCATAATGAGAACCCAAGTGGAACTCAGGTTTACATTAGGGGGCAGAGAGAAGAAGAATATGTTTAACACTTGTTGAAATTTGCAGACAATTTACAAGTTGAAGTTAAATCGAAATCATTGTTTAACACTTGTTGAAATTTGTGGACAATTTACAAGTTGAAGTTAAACCAAAATCATTGTTTAACACTTGTTGAAATTTGTGGATAATTTACAAGTTGAAGTTAAACCAAAACCATTGTTTAACACTTGTTGAAATTTGTGGACAATTTATAAGTTGAAGTTAAACTGAGATCATTGTTTAACACTTGTTGAAATATGTGGACAATTTACAAGTTGAAGTTAAACCGAAATCATTGTCTAACACTTGTTGAAATTTGTGGACAATTTATAAGTTGAAGTTAAACTGAGATCATTATTTAACACTTGTTGAAATTTGTGGATAATTTACAAGTTGGAGTTAAACTGAGATGATATCTAACATTTGTTGAAATTTGTGGACAATTTATAGGATGAAAGACTAAGGTTAAACACTTGTTGAAATTTTGTATTTACAAGGTGGAACCAAGATTACCCCGTGAAAGGTAGTTAGGTACTTGCCGAGATAAATCATCAGTTTATACAACCGAGGTGTGTCACCTCGAGGAGGTTGCAAAGGATCGAAGTGTATATTGAAGACATGCAAAAATTTCTAAGTATAGAATCATACAAGAGGAATAAAGAGAAGACAAAGATACAAGCACTCAGAGAAGGAAAGTTGTAGTAATATTCAGAAAAGGCACGTTGGCCAAAAGCTTACAATTGTTCCCACAAAAGAAAAACAAAAGTACAAAAGACAGAAGAAAATAACATCAAAATTAAGAGTCTTCAGCAGGCTGGGTTTGGACCTCGGAGGATTGCTGAGAAGACATCTCGGCAACCTTCTCGGCCGCAAGCTCAGCATCGATTTCTTGCAAGGTTTCATCTAGGCTCTTATCAGCAGGAGGAACATCGGATAAAGCTTTCTCAGGAGCAGCATCTTTATGAACCTCCTCATCTTCCTCATCTTGAGTCAAGTCCTGGACTTGCTCATTTTGAGGAGGAGACTTGGCCCCAGTAGTCTCTTTTGACTTCCTCACTAAAACCTCCTCCTCGGCCTCATCCTCAAAATTAGATTCATCATCAGATTGAGCTAGAGTTGGAGTTAGAGGGAATGGAAGAGGAATGGCGTCGGCGCTTCTCAAAGGCGAATCCTCAGGGACATTAAGCTTTTTTAGAAGGGACATCCAACCAAGGGTGAAACCCTTGTTGCATGCCTCCTTCACTTGCTTTTCGTAGGCCTCCGTGACATCGGCCATGCCCTGGGCATACGCCTTCTCATCGGCATCCTTGATTTTAGCCTTTTTGGTAGCCAAGGCCTCCTGCAGCTCTTTTTGGGCCTGGGCCATCTTCTCATCGGCCTCTCTTTTTTGGGACTCAGCAACCTTCCTAATGGCCTCAGCAGAATCAAACTTCTCCTCGGCATCGGTCTGAGCCTTGATGGCAGCTTCGGCCTGGTCTTCCAACTTCTTCATTTTCGATTAAAGGCTTTTGTTGGCTTTTTGAAGAGAAGAGAACTCCCTCTTCATCTCGGCCAACTTCTCTCGATTTTCAAAAGATTGAATAGAGAAAGAATGGGCATGCTGGATGGCTTGGAAAAACACAAGACAAAAGTTATTGCAAAATCTTCTAAAGTACAGGAAAGGGAAAAATTACCAGGCAAGGACACTCACTTGAACAGAACATTGAAGCATCATAGCGTAATTTTCATACTCACTCAACCCAGCGTTCCTGTCAAGATCGCTGGGAAGAAGCAGAGTAGTACGGAAGGCTACGCCGACGTTTATGTCCTCGGCGCTATCATTGACCATGACTGGCTTATCTTCCAAGGTAATTTCGGGGGCCCAGGGGGCAGCAGACTTTTTAGACCCCGAGGTCGTTGGAGAAGATGACCTCGGCTTTTTTGATTTTGGCGATTTGGATGGTTGGACCTCAGAGCGACTCTTCCCAGCAGAGTATTGAGATTTGTTACTCTCAGCCAACTTAGAGATTGGCAAAGCATCCTCAGACTCAATTTGAGTAACCTTAGCCTTTGGCTGAGCCTTTTTTATTCTTTTCAGCTTCGGTGGAGGTAGGGTTTGTGTTAATTGAGCATCAACATCAGTTGGAATGTTGGCTAGAAGATCTTTAGCAACTGGTTTTGGGCGACCCATCTCGACAGTAGAAACTGTTCGGCGTCGACGGCGGCGTTAGGATATTGGAATCAAGTATGGAGCCGAGGTTGACGGTTGCTCAGCTGGATCAGAGGTTGACCCTTGGTCTATCTGAGATGTGGACGCGGTTTGTGGAGTTGTGGCAGAGGGTGGAGAAAGCCTTTTCTTCTTCCTCTTAGGGACGTCGGGCAGAGCTGACTTGTATGTTGGAATAAAATTGAGAAGCAGAGGCGCTGTCCGTTCATGGACTGGCAGGTCCAAGAGTTTCTTCAAATCCTTGTTGAGAATGAAGGATTGACGAAAGTTTTTTGGTGGCTTAGGAACAGCTGCAAGAAAAAACAGACATTAAGAAATAGATGAAGTATGAAAGACTTAAAAAAAAAAAAAACAAAGTTGGTGTGATGCAGGGCTCTTACCATTACCCTCTACAAAGACTAATCGAAGGAGAGGGAAGAGATGGAGGTCTTCATTTGGGGCGAACTCCCAGTTCCCTGATGTAATGAAATAATCGTCCCCAGCTCCCTTGTTGGAGTCGGGGAGGTCGGCAACGATTTTGTATTCAGTGGACCTCGGCTTGAGGTAGTAAGCGTAGCCAGTGTCTTTTTTAAGGCCACACATAGTGTAGCAATATTAGATGTCGGCTAATGTGATCCTAGCATTTTCTTATTTGGCTAAGGCTATGATACCATTGATGGTTCGATAGGAATTGATGGAAAGTTGTATTGGGTTCAACTTGTAATAATGAAGTATTTCACGAAAAAGGATGTTGAGTGGGAGCCGAAGTCCACACTCAATGAAGGCTACCACAGGGAAATGCATGGAGTCATCAGTAGGCATGATGGAGTTATCATCCCCAGCCAACCTTTGATGGACGTCGGCTGGGATTTCAAACTCCTATCTAAAGAATTCTAGTTTGGATGGGGTGTTTACCCTATGTTTCCACATACCCATGATGTCGGCTTAAGTGGGGATATCAGATTTCAGGAAGAAGTATTTTTGAAGGTTTAAAGGACCTCGGCCAAAAACCTAAAAGTACACTTTGGTTAGGGTTTTTGTATGGATTAAGAGGGAGTTCATTTTAGTTTTTCCTAAATTGTGGGTTCTACAGACAAATCCCAAACCTAAGTCTAAATGGCAGCAAGTAATAGAAAGCATCAAAGAATTGAAAACGAAAGGAACAGTAAACTCACCGAAGAAAAGAAGCCCGTGTAAGGATCGCCAAAGTCAGACAATAGTTACAGAAGTAAGAAAACGGCAGAAGCTTCACCAGACGGAGGAATGAAGGCAGTTGCAAAGCTTGAGGTCTGGAACAATGGCGTATTCAAGAGCTAAAGAGAGAAAAAGCAATGGAATCGAATGAAAAGTGAAAAAAACGAAAGAGGGAAACAAGTTTTGTCAAAAACTTGAAACGGCGGCAAAAGAGGGCAATTAATGCGCCTGGGACAACGTGAGCGTCAGACAGTGCACGTATGTGCGAGATGATTACGAAGCACGTGCCAAGTACGATCCAATAAGAAAGGGACACGTAGCTGAAACGGTTGAATTGTGATGTATGACAGCTCATACGCGTGGAGAAGCCCTTGGGATTCTTGATCTTGAAGAGGACATATCGGCTTACGATGATGATCTCGGCTTAAGCCAATGTACTAGCATGAGGTACTGTCATAGGTATTATTTAAGATAAAATTGTGACCTCAACAATCTAATTATATATTGTGGGGATATATTTTCTGAGTACCAACACGTGTCTAAGGTGACGCTGACGTGTCAGCCGAGGTGCCATGTGTTCTGGACATGACGCCGAGGTTATCTCGGCGAGGCCGAGGTTACCTCCGAAGATATCAGAATCCTAGATAAGCGGATAAGGAACAAGAGTCCTAGAAAAGGGAAAGACTACAGTTGGGAAAGGATAAGACTCTTAGGGAGTTTATCCCAATCCTACTAGGAGTCCAAGATTGATGGTAATCCTAAGTCCATTAGAGCTAGGCTCCTGTTGGGACAAGGATTAAGTTAGCTATAAAAGAGAGGCACCCCCATGGGTCTAAGGTACGCAATTTATATTCTGAACAGTGAGATTAGCACTATTGATTATCTTTGAGAGATATACTGACTTGATCGTCGGAGTGCCCCCGGGTGGATGAACTACCGTCGGAATCTTCTCTTTCTGTTACAGGTTAGCCAGGTGTCATCTATTCTGCCAGTGTTCTCCAGCTGAATACTGAGTTGGGCAGTGTGATCGGAAAATCACTCACACATTTACCATTCATAGAAGTAATCAAATTTAACATTAACGTCAAAGGGCAAAATTACCACTCTCTGTATCAAAATTAAAATCTGCATCAAAATTAAAAGGGATGACACTCATGTGAGGAAAAACTATTCAATGCCCCCATGTATAATTGGTGTTTTTTTTCATGTGAGAGTTATTAGAGTATTTTTTCATATTTCATGGCCCCATGTATAGTTGTCAGTGTAAAGTCAAACTAATTTAATTAAAAATAAAATATATATTTTTGTGTTAAAATTGATGACATTATCATTTTTCATCAAGTTAGTTCCATTAACAGTGTGAGGGTATTACATCAATTTAAACTCTAAGTTTGTGTTTGGATTATAGATTTGTATAGTGAGTTGGAAAGAAAAAGAAAAAAGTTAGGAAAATAGAAAAAAAAAATTAATACAAACATAGCCTAAGAAAGTAGCCAATGGTTATGTCAAAATTATAAATTATATATATATATATATTTTTTTTCATGCTTTTAGCACCTCGGTGTAATTTACCATTTTAAATTTTAAAAAATACAAATTATATGTAATTGTCAATAATCGGAGACATGATTCCAACTGGACCCGGTCAACCAGTTGCCATCACGGGTCCCGTTTTGAAAATCTGAACCGTGCAATGTGTAGAAATCTTCGAGTACTATATGCCTATAAAAAATCACATTGATCTGATATCGATAGCTATGTGATCAAATCAGTTTTGTATAAAAAAAAATGGACGGTGAATAAATTAACGGTTGACAAAAAATTGATTTGATCACATAGCTATCGATATCCGATCAACGTGATTTTTTACAAGCATATAGTACTCGAAGAGTTCTACACATTGAACGGTTCAGATTTTCAAAACGGGACTCGTGGTGGGCCCCCATCGGCCCAACAGCACGGTCCAGTCCGATGGTGGACTGGACCAAAGCCAGACCCAAAAAAAAAAATACCAAGAAATTCTATTTTATTTTTAAGATTATTATTACTATTAAGTTTTAATATGCACAACTAAGATTTATTTGTTATAAAATGTTCTCAAAAGGTCCATTATTTCATAATTGTGTGTTTTATCCCAATTGTACCTTCTCATTTAATATGAACAACAATTTTATTACAGGCACTCAGTTCAAAAGTCTAAATTCAAATTTCTTTCGCTCAAAGGTCCAAGCGAGAAATTATTATGTTTATAAGGACATATTTCAGCACAATAACCAAACTATCCTTATATATATACACTAGCATATTATAGCGATCCGGGTTTTTCCTCCATTGTTTATTGTATTCCGGACTCGGTTCCGTGGATGTTTGTTGTTGTCTATATCGCATTTCCGCCCTTTAATTCTTTGTATTTGAGTTTTGGGATGTATTGGGCAGGTTTGTAACAGGTTGGTAGTGAGTTGAAATAAATTGTTGCTGCCCAGAATTTGGCTTCTTCGCTCGAGCGAGGCTTTTTACACTCAAGTGAGGTCTAGGGTTTTGCTTCTTCGCTCGAGCGAGCTTTCTTGCGCTTGAGGGAGGATTGAGAGTCTTCAGGTTTCTTTCCAGACAAAGCTTCTGCTCGAGTGAGCTTGGTCTGGTGTGTCTCTTCGCTTGAGTGAGCGGTCTTGCGCTCTAGCGTGCGTCTGTGTCTCTTTTTGACCTGAAGGTTGTGTTTCTTTGCTCGAGCGAGCTTTCCTTCGCTCGAGCGAGCAAGGACTATGTTTTGAGTTTCTTCGCTCGAGCGAGCACTCTTGCTCTCGAGCGTGCTTCTGGGTTGCAGACCTGAAGCTTCGCATTGTTCGCTCGAGCGACGCTTCTTGCGCTCGAGCGAGGTCCTTTTGTGTCTGGTCGCTCGAGCAACCACTCCTTCGTTGGAGCGAGCCTCGAGTATATTAGTTCGCAGCAGTGTGTTTTTACACACTTTTTCACTCTCTTCTTCCTTCAAACCCTAGATCCGGCACACACTATCTCTCTACATACACATTCTCTCTACAAATACACCTTGTTCTTGGACCTCTCTACCCTAGTCTCTTTGTAAGAAAGGTAGAGCTTCGCGTGGGCTCCATTTTAAT